GTGAATGCCACAAATTCTCCTAAATCACTCGTACGCACAATTTAAGAACAAATCTGTGCGTACGAACGGTTCTTGCATGAGGCCCATTGATTTTTGTGTACAGTGCTCTGAGATAACAGTTGTTGTGACTTAGTGCTATATAAATAAACTGAATTGAATGAAGTGAATACTTGTAGTTGGATGAGAATTTTTGTGGCAGGMAAAACTCATTTAATGCTAGTTGTATTTTGGTAAATTGTTGATTCGTTTTTTTTTCCTGAGTCAGCTGGTAAATAATTGAAACCCTGTATAAACATCTTATGTTCTATTTGTTTAAAGTTTATTTTGTGCTGCCTCTGACTTTGTAAAATCACCTTACAGATCCTCTGTCCAGCTAACATTAAGTTTTCTCCACTCACAGCTGGTGCTAGCGTGGATTAGCCTCTCAGCTAAGGTGCAGTCACTGATTGGGAAAAGAAAAATTGGAGCTAAAAGTTTTGATTTGATTCTTCGGTGTGAAGGAGTGTGTGCACAGTTCTAATAAGTGTGTTTCCTCAGGTGTGATGTGTGTGGGAAGGAGTTCTTTGAGAAGGCTTTGTTCAGGAGACACGTGAAGAAGGCCACGCACGGCAAGAAGGGCCGAGTGAAGCAGAACCTGGAGCGAGTGTGTCAGCACTGTGGCAGGAAGTTCACTCAGCTGCGAGAGTACCGACGCCACGTCAACAACCACCAGGGTGAGCTCACGGTCTGCTCAAACATCTGGTCTCCATCTCTGTTCCATGCCTCACTGTCTGTGGGCAGACTCAACAACAAAGTGTTTTTGTCTCAGGGGTGAAGCCTTTTGAATGCCTGACCTGCGGCGTGGCCTGGGCCGACGCTCGCTCTCTCAAGCGTCACGTCCGGACCCACACGGGCGAGCGGCCGTACGTCTGCCCCTTGTGCCATGAAGCCCACATCGACGCGCGCACCCTGCGCAAGCACATGGCCAAGTACCACGCAGACAACATGCCCGGCAAGATCATGCTGGAGAAGGACACCCTGCAGTTCCACAACCAGGGTACCCAGGTGGAGCACGCCGTCAGCATCCTGGCGTCCGACCTGCCCCCCGAGCTCCGGCCCGCCCAGCAGCCCGCCTCAGAGGAGCTGGAGACCGTGCTGATCACGGAGGAGACGGTGGAGGCSGTGGAAGCCGTGCAGGCCGCGGGCGACGGCTCGGTGGCGACGCTGTCGGATCAGGGCATCATGCAGGTGGTGAACTACGTTCTGGCCCAGCAGGCCCTGACCGGGGTCAAGACTGATGAGACGCCCGAGGTGGTGGAGGTGGAGGTGGAGGTGGCTGAGGTGGAGTAAGACTGAACCCGAGACACAAGACTGGATCACAGGACTCACTGTCGAAATGTAAAAAGAATTCTTAAAATGTTCATAAATTAAACAAGTTTGTCTTTCAGCTCTGAGCTGAAAAGTTTCCCACATTTTTATTTGTTTCCTGTAAATAAACTGGAGCAAGAGGCCTGAATAACATTAATGTGTATAAAATTTGGCACTCAGGAACAATAAAGGCAGAAAGAAGACTTGCTTTGGCTTAATTTAATTTCTTTTCTCCTCCAGTTAGGTCTTTTTTTTATTAGAAAAGTTTTCTGCAGTAATTATTTTCACACCCTCTACAGCAGAACACTGACAGTATTAGAGCCAGACTAAGATTTTCTTTATTTGTAATTATGAGATTAAAGTCACATGGGAAACAAGTCATAATARAACAAGATTAAAGTCAGTATTAGGGGAAAAATCTTACTGGAGAAACATCATTCTATGAGAGAAAATGACATCCATCTTCCAACAGTCCCTCCTGCTGTGGTCAGCCTCCAATGTGTCCTTGTGTTTATGAAGTATTCTCTGATTAATTTTGAGTCACTAATTAATGCTTCCATCCACATTATGTGACAGTTAAATCCATCAATACAGCCACTAACTGTAAAGCCCTACAGCAGGGCGTTGAACTCATTTTCACTGAGGGCCACATGAAACATCATGGTGGCCCTCCGAGGGRCAGTTGTAATCAAAGGTTTCCTGTTTAACATTGACCAAACAGGAAACATCATGTTCCTCGTCTCATTGCCACGACTGAGCACCTCTAGCAAACACTAACTGAGCTCTACTTGGTATTTCCTGCATAGAAACAGTGTTTAACACGTCCTCTATAAACAGAAAAATACTGCGTGTACGACTGACTAAATGTGAAATAAATACAGAAATACTATTAAAAGTAAGAGTTTTACTCATTGAGTTGTGGTGAGTAGCTGCCATCTTGAATTCTGAACTCTCCCACTTTCCAACAGGGATTTCCCACCATGTTTTCCAGTTTAAATTTACAACAGCTAAGTAGGAAATTCCCATTTCCCAGTACGACTGGGCCACAGCAAAAGTAGCTGGAGAAAATGCAGCTAAATGTAGTTCCCTTTCAGTCAATACACTCAGTACAACACATCATGTAGGGGAAACCACGCCCCTCCGTGTCCTGGCTGAAGCCAGCTCTAATCACGCCTTTAGACAGGTGACGTGATGATGACAGATGTCAGGCTCCGCCTGCACATATAAATACTGTCGCCATCACAGTCACTCAGCAGTGTTGCCAACTTGGCGACTTTGTCACTAGATTTAGTGACTTTTTAGACCCCTTTAGCGACACTTAGGACAGCCAATAGGGACTTTTCTTGCACAGGAGTTGGCAACACTGCTCCTCAGTTCTTACGCTCTTCACCTCGCTAAGAACACCTCTTCGAGTCAGGCTAATTAGCTGCTGCTAATTAGCTTTGCTTGTTTTGAAGGTTCTTAAAATTAGCTTAAAGGCACAGTGTGTAGGATTTGTTGTTTTCAGCGACATCTAGTGGTTGAGTGGTTGAATCATCCTCCCTGGTCCTCCCCCCACCCCCACCCCCCGCTTCCAAACACAAAGGAGTTGCTACGGTGTCTCTCAGGTGTCAAAAACCTTTGATAATTCCAACCGCTATGTCTACCAGCAGCTTCAGGGCTAGTGATGTTTCAAGTGGTAAGATTATGAGCTTTAATAAGTAAAATTATCCCAGCTACAATGACAGACAACAAATATTACATTTATAGTATTACAACTAAAACTGTTTTTGACACCGCCACCGCAGTTTGTCCTTCATGAGCCTTCGTAGACAAGATGGCGGTGCAAGATGGTGGCTGCCTGTAGTGGCGACCCGCGACCATGGAAATATAAACAGCTTTTTATAAGGTAAAAATAATAAAACAAGGTCTTTGTCTGCAATGATTAGACATGTTTTTTTATTATTGTCATTAGTGATTATCTCAATTTCGGCTAAAAGAATTGACAAAATCCTACACACTGTGCCTTTAACAGCTTTGCCACTGCTGCCTACTGGTAACTGTGTCTGCCCGCGGAGTGCTAGTTTTGAGGAGCCTTTTTAATTTAACAAACTTTGTGGTTCAGGATGAGCACAAAATTACCTCAAAAGAAGCAGAAGTCTTCTGTTTGGCCCTGTCCTCAGGTGCAGCTTCTCGCTCCATGAGAAGGACCAGCACAAAGCTTGCCCGGTCTGTCTGGGGATCGTTCACACTCGGGTCACTGTGTTTTGCAAAAATATATTACCTTTAACCCCAATAATATTTAAATATGCACAACCATAGGGTTTGCAGCTAAAGAAAAGGCGTGAAAGTCACTTTAGTATTCAGGAAGTTATGATTTATTAAATGTACTGATACTTCATTGTGCCTGCTAGATTACACTGAGCTGAGCGGGTGGCCTACGTCTCGTCAGCTCCAACAGGCAGTAGCAGCGATTATGGTATCTAGTCCTTTTGTTTTATCTATGGGTGCAACACCTACATTGGTTTTATYACACCTGGCATTTCCACCTGGTCTCCCATCCAGTTATTAATCAGGTCAACCCTGCTTTGCTTCTCAGATCAGATAAGATCTGGTGTGTATGGCTGCTGTCATTTTAATTATATTTATATTAATAACACTTATTTTGACCTTATTTTTGGTAGTATTATTATTTTAATATTACATTATGACTTTGTTTTCATTCAACTTTATTTTCATAATGTTACAATTTTATTTTTGTAATTAAAAAAGCATGTTTTTGTAAGTCTGGCCCTAATACTCCATCGCAGAACACAGTTTGGTTTTCTTCAAGAAAAAAAAAATCGACACAAACACATTTGTTTTTTACATGCAATACAGATTTATTTCAGATTTATATCAAAATACCCTTGAGAAAATTGCAACATATTTACAAAACGTACAAAAATATGAAAACTTATTTGCTGCTTTCTAACAGTGATTGCTACTCAGAACAAAGCTTGTTGTGAACATGAACTGGTATTTAACACAATGTCAGTATGCTTGGATCCTTTAGGGACACTATACAAATATTTATACATATATATATACACACATATACGGTGTTTTGGCCAGTTATCAAATGAAATAATGAAACAGCTGAACATCTTCAACTGCAAGAAGAAAAATAAAATCTTAAAAATGCATATTTGTAGAGCAGTAAATAAAAATAAAGACATCAGTCATGATAACATGTAACTATAAAACACTGGGTCAGGAGGCCTACATGTGTGGCCACGTCAAATGAACGACCGTCTTTCACTTTAATCACATCGATTCGAGAAGCAAACATTTTATAAAGCTGGTCTCGGCACACGCTCAAAACGCACAACAAAAAACAAAAAATATATAAAAGCTACTGCAGAAAACAGTTTGCCCATCCAGTGGTTTAATACTTCTGAGAAGAAATGAAATGTTTACAATCGATTCAAACTTCTGCCACAAATGAAAACCAGTGTACTTAAGTAACACAACCAGAATGGTAAAAAAATACAACACAAGTACACTCGCTAAGGTCCACAGCAGAAGCAGAAACCCAGACAAGCCCAGTGTTTGCTTCCACTGGTTGTTTTGGGACTGAAACACAAACACTCAGCCACAAAGTTTCAAAGCAACATTGAAATACTCATTGTTTTTTTTAAGTGCTCCCAAAAAATTAAAAAAAAAAAGTTAATAAAATGTATCTCTGCAATAACAAGAACCAGTACATACAAAAAAAAAAAGGTAAGTGCATTTTGGCAGTTTGTAGTATCCTTGTTTTATCCTCAGGAGCCTTTGCACCAAAATCAGGGTTTTTTAAATGAAATTTTCCGTCAGTGGGCGTGAAATGAGAGGGTGGGAACATCCAGAACAGGACTGAGGTGGTCTTACTCGCCCTCCTCCTTGATGCGCTGCTGTTTGTTGCGGCGAGAGTCCAGGTCAAAGGAAAAGTCGGACCACTCGTCACGCGGCGGGAAGGAGATGGTCTGACGGAGGGTGAAGCGCACGGCGTCTATGACGCGCTCGCCCCGGGCCTCGGAGGCGCCCACGCTGACGGTGGAGGCTCCGCTGGTGGTGCGCACTATGTGTGGAGGAGGGGAAAAGTCCATGGCCTGTCGGTGCTCCATGATGCCCTTCCAGATGATGTGCTGGAACTCAGCGGGGATCTTCAGCCTGGACAGGTCCTAATGGTCATTACACAGGGGGAGCGTTAGTATTCGCAGGGGGAGCCACTCTTCTCTCTAACCCATCATATGACTCGTGTTGGATAGGCAAGGGCTCACCTCCATGTTAAAGTTCTCAATCTGGTACATGTTGCTTAGACCTTGAGCTGAGAAGTAATCCAGGCAGCCTGCGCAGCCCAGCCGAAGGAGGAAGCTGCAGGAGGAAGAGGAGGAAGAGGAGGAAGAGGAGGAGGAGAGCAGTTAATGGATCTGAAAGACTTCTCACAACACAGTGTGACATTTAACATCTGCTCTTTTATTATGTTTCATATATTTACTTTTCCTTTGATTTAAAGGACTGATCACCAATACGTGGAGCTAAATTAGGGCCATAGAGTTTACTCTGTGAATTTCCTGTACCGTTGCACCCCTAAAATATATATATATATATATA